AGTCAAAACTCTTTATAACGAATCTGAAGGGACCAAGAGATTTCTTTCGTTATAGAGAGTTTTCGTAATAGAGAGGGTTTAAAAAAAACAAAATTTTAATTATTTATGTATAAAGGTATGTACCTATGTAATATTATATATCAAACACATCATTATTTTTACATTATTTTATATGCAAATGTATTATATTAAATTATTATTATTATTATACATACTTATTAAATATAATTTAATTTTTATACTATACATATTTATACTTTATTTAAAATAGTCTGTCATCATACGATAACACGTAAATTGTATTATGAAACATAAAATATTGTTTCGTTATTGAGGGTGACTAATACGTTATAGAGAATGAATTGTCTAATGGGTTATATAGCAAACCAACCATTATTATGTAATGTTTATGTTATATAGAGTTTTTCGTTGTAAAGAGTTTCGTTATAAAGAGTTTTCACTGTATATATATATATATATATATATATAATTTTTTTATATGTAAGCCCCCCCCCATTGAAAATAGCTGTGTACGCCACTGAGTGACAAGTGTATCTATGATTTATTTGGTGACCCATTGACCATTGTATCAAATATCTAATATACATTATACAATGTTCATAATATATCACTCTGTAATGATTTTTATCTGTCTCAACAATGGAAAACAACTCAAAACATAAAAAAAAACGTAAAAAATATATATATATATAATTTTTTTATATGTAAGCCCCCCCCCATTGAAAATAGCTGTGTACGCCACTGAGTGACAAGTGTATCTATGATTTATTTGGTGACCCATTGACCATTGTATCAAATATCTAATATACATTATACAATGTTCATAATATATCACTCTGTAATGATTTTTATCTGTCTCAACAATGGAAAACAACTCAAAACATAAAAAAAAACGTAAAAAACTGTAAAATTTAGTGGCAGGGCCGTAGACACGGGGGGGTTTAGGGGGTTCAAACCCCCCCCTTGGAAAGTTTATAAATTTATTTCAAATATTTAAAACTACTAATATATCTTATATATTAAAAAAAAAATTTTTATCAATAATAGTTATTAATAATATTTTAGATGTTTGTGTTGTTAAGGGTTATAAGTAAGGTATTTTGTGTATCGTCTAATGGTCGCAATGACAAATCACCATTACCAAAACCGTTTTGTTACTGTGATAATTGATAATCTTATTATATGTTTATGTTGATAATACTGAAATTTAAGATAGGTAACATATTAATAAGGTATTATCAGTATTATAGTTAAAACTTTAAAAGTTAAAACCGTGCTAAAAAAAAAACATAGATTTGAGAGAAATGATCAGTTTGGCCAATATCAGTATCAAGGTTCTTGACAATTTAAGGGAAAATGTAGATCATGAATTTAAAAAAATGTTCAAAGAAGCTCAAGTAATGAATGCCTTAAATTCAATTTTAATGTTCATTTTTTTAACTATAATTATATTTTTAAATAGAGATTGCCTCAGATGTTAGACTTTGAAATATCAGTCAAACAGCTGAAAAAGAGTCAAAATATTTTCAAAATTGTATGGTGTATAGGAAATTCTAATATAAACATTCAGTGAAATTTTCATGTATCTATAGTTATTCGTTTTTGTATTACAACAAAATAAGGAAATCGCTACATGAGAAATCGAGTGAATATCCAATGTTGTAAAAATTTGAATTTCAAACGCTCTTAAAAATTTAATTTGACTTTCTTATAGACATTTTTTTTTGATAAATGTAGATAATCTTATGAGGAATCTTGTATTACATTTTCAAATCTTAGATTTAAAAAGAAAAATTTTTACGAATTCTTAACTCAAAATAATTTGCTAATTTTCATGATTTTTCCATATTTTGTCAATTTTTGAACTTTAAATGCTTATAAAAAAAAATTGTGACTAAGGATTTTTAATATTTTTCATCTGCCTTTGAAACAATATACTAGGAGCCTTCTATTAAATTTTCAAGCTTTCGCAAACAACAAATAAAATTTTATTGATATTTTTAGAAAAAAAACTAAAAAAAAATGGAAAATAAAAATGTGCCTAAACAGTTCAAAGTAAATCAAAATATTTTGAAAATGTTATCGTGTATAGAAAATGCAAATATAAACAACCAGTGAAAATTTCATGTATATACGTTTATTTGTTTTAGAGTTACACTAAAAACCAAAATCGATTTTTCGGAAAACCGATTTAGCGTAAAAATTCCCGTTCTTCCATAATTTTTATGTTGTTTTTCCCGGCGCTTGTGAAAACTACTGGGAAATTTTTACTTTTGACCCCCCAAAGTACCAACTAGATTCACTTTCCTATCAGAAAAGCTACTGTTGCATGTAACAGTACTATAACATGTTATTATTATAATAAACCCCCCCCCCCCATATAAAATTCCTGTCTACGGCACTGTTTAGTGGCTAACAATAAAATAATCAAATCGAAGTATCGAACTATTATAATATAACAGGAACAAGTGTTTTTTTCGACTTACAAAATGTTTAAGTATAATATATTATTATTCGTAGCATAGGCGCAAATAGCCCAATATTTTGGTGGGGGACTAAACCCTCACGATCTTCCTATATTATTTTCTAAAAATTATAATATGCTTAATATTTTATATTAATATTAATGTATTACACCTATAATATATTAATTAAACTATTATTTCTTAGATTTTTCTTCTTTTTTATAAAAAAATATATACTTGTTTATCATTCTGATCAATAATAAAAGTAAAATATATTTATTAGGTTAGTATAGTAGGTATATAAATAGTATTCGGAGGCGTGAGGCCGTTTTAATTCAGTGTAGAAATATTTATTTCTAATATGGAGAGTGTCTGCCTGGATAATTTTCAATGTGCCCCTTTACAAACAAAATTTTACCTAGCTAATTTGTTTTCTGTGTATTAAATTAATATCTTACCATAACTAAAGACTAATCTCATAAACAAGGTTTTCATTTTATTATTAGATAGAATTTTATTGTGTTAAATTTAATGAAGTTAATATAAACAAAATAATGTATGGTAACAGCCTTTATAAAATATAATTTTAAATACAGTTTAACAATATTGTTTTGGTAAAAAATATATACTTTTTGATGATTAAATAGATACAAAATTAAAATAAATATAGGTAATAATTACCTAATATAGATAAGCTGGTTGATTAGAAAGTCAGGAGCTTTAATTTGATATATAATGCAGATGATATTCTAGTGTAGTTATTATTAATGTATTACATAATAACCAAGGTCTAAAAAAAATTAATCAATTTTATTTTTTTGGTTTTTTTAAAGTTAAAAAATATCTATTTTGTAAAGTTTTCAGAATAACCTACTTACGTGGAACCTTGTTCTACGTTTCCAATCCATTGCTATGAAAGTTGAATATTTTATAAATTTTTAATTACAAAATCATTATTTTTTATCTGCTTTTGAAACAATATATAAGGAGTCTCCTATTAAATTTTCAATCTTTTTACCCAACAAATAAATTGGTATTGATATTTATAGAAAAAAAAAAAACTAAAGAAATTGGAAACTGAAAATGTCTATAAACAGCTCAAAATATTTTGAAAATGTTATGGACTATGGTGTATAGAAAATGCTAATATAAACATTGAGTCAAAAATGTCATGTATTTACGATCATTTGTTTTAGAGTTACACCAAAAGCCGCAATCGATTTTGCGTAAAAATTACCGTTTTTCCTTACTTTTTATTTTGTTTTTCCTGGCGCTTTAGAAAACTTACTTTACTATTGACCCCCCAAGTACCAAGTAGATTCACTTTCCTGTCAGAAAAGATACTTTTGAAGAAAATCTATGCATTTGTACTGACCTTAAAGGTACCTAATGACAGACACAAAAATTTTTTAAAAAAAACACATATTATATCATACAATTATGATGATAATAAAAAAAGCTTTAAAAAAGCAAAAAATTATTCTAATAATTATCAAAATTATTTGAATGTTTGGCATCAACAGCATCTAAATCGTGAATACAAAATGAAAATATAGTCTATTATAGTATATTATTATTACATCTTATTAGGTAAATCTTCTAAAATAAAAATTAAAAAACAAAATGAAAATGAATATATAATATACTTACCTACATTGGCTACATTAAAATAATATTAATGTAATTTGTGATTTTCAATGAACAATTGAGCTAGATAGGTACTTGAAAATGTTAATCACCCTTCTGCTTGGGTAAAATAAAAAGTTGTACACAGTAAACTGTGTTAAAATTGTTGGACATTATCAAAACTTATTAACATAAATGTAAAATGTTAATAAATATAATTTTTTTATGGTAATAAAATAATTAGGTGTGGCTATATGATTAAAAATTAAAATATGCTAATATTCTGTTTGAAGAATGTATATAATATATTATATTGTCTGATGTATGATATCCGCTACAATTCCAGTAGGAGGGGTGATAAAATGTATCTGATTTTAATTGAGAAACATATCGAAATTTATGTTTCAAAATCAAAAATGTGATAATCGGGGATAAACGCATGAAATATTCGGGTGGTGAGGTTTGAAAAAATTGTATAATCTTTGTACCTAATGCCTATTGTTATACCTATATTAAATGATTTAAAAAAACTAAAATTAAATGATAGGTAGGTACATAATTGGTATTATTGATATTTTGTGGGGAGGTTAGCCCCTCGCGGTGAAACGGTGCGGCGGCGAAACGGTCCGCGGCGAAATGGTACAGCGTCGAAACGGTCTGCGGCGAAATGGTCTGCGGCGAAATGTCCTAGACCCAGAAATAATAGTCAACTTGCCTAGTTGTAAATTTTGTAAAAGAGTTGTATAAATTAATTATTTACAATTATAAAAGTTGTATAAAAAATTTTTTTATAAGTCATTAATTACTATATAAGTTTAAAAATAAGTATAACATTTTTATAAAAATAAAAGGGTTATGAATAAATTTATTGCAAGTCATATCTAAAAGTCAATCATAAGTTATCAATGGTTGAGGTCGAACTTGTCTTCGATAGTAAGCATCCATAAGATGGCCTGCTCGTCGCAAAAACATGGCTAAATCTTCATTTTGGTCAAGTGTACCAACATAGTCTCTTATTGTACAGGTAACTTCTGCTCTAATTATGTTTTCAGCGGTTATTTGTCTAAACCAAAAATCGTGTATGTAGCCAAATAAAAATCCTTGTAGGTGTTCGCGAATTACAGGTTGTTGGTTGACATAATTCACGATTATTTGAAAACCATATAACATTGTGAAATTACAATTAATTTGGGGCTCAGCATTAAGATGGGGTAGAGCTAACACTTAAAAATTAAAAACCCAAATCGAATTTAACCAAGCAAGTAAAAATATCAAACTACTTTTAGGCAAATTAAATAATCACAAAATTATTTCATCGTAATATCATATTACCATGCGTAAAACAATGGCCGCATCAACATTTGTCTGAAACAGTTGGAATAGACTGTTCATGCTTCTTTTGCAGTACCGGATAACAGACTTGCAAAAATGGAACCAACATCCCTGGAGCTTTGTTTGAGGAAAGCAATCCTTACTGCGTTCATCAAACCTCGTTCATAATCTGTTATGATGGTTAACTGGTTGTAGTTCAGAGGTAAAATCTGTTGTACAATTCTAAAAAAGGACTCATATGTGGACTGTGTCATCCTTGTAGTCAATGCATACACCATTGGAAAAGACTAGGTAAAAAAAAAACATATTATCTGTAGACAGAATTAATAGTTAAAAAAAAATAACTTACCACATTTCTGAAAACTATATGAAAAGTAAGCAGGCATCCTTTTTTCAAATCAGGAGGATTTCGCGGCATGGTTTTAAATGTTCCATCTACTCCTGCGATGGTAATTGATTGGAGTAGTTCTCCCCTATATTTGTCGATTGCATCTGTATTAGCAAATACTACACCAACTCGTTCTCCATCTACCATCAATGGACAATCATGTTGAAAAAATATAAGTAAAATAAGTAAGTAAAATAATAAAGAAATGATAAATAAAACAAAAAATATTTGAAATTTATTTCATGAACCTTGAAGAAGGACGCTGCAATGTTGATATATATGATGTAGATGTTGTAGGTTCTTCAATATATCTGCTAACTGATCAATAGAGGTTGGATTGTTTGGACGACGACGACGTCGCATTTTATCAAGACAAAACCGGGACTGTAAATGCGTGTAGTTTTGAGCACCTTCTGGATTTCTAAGGCAGTTAATGGTGTGCAAATAATACTTTAATCTTATTTATGCTAATAATTACAAAAATTATCTAAAATTTTTATTAATATATAATGTTATTCCAGAATACTTACAACACAACTTCTTGGTTATAAATTTGTCTGATGGAAGTAGCCAAATTGCCGGTACTTGTTCCAGCCAGACCAATAGATCTTCTTAAATGGACCATTTGAATGTCAACATTTGGAGGAAAATGGTTGTGTTGAAGCCGAGTCATTATATCACCATTCCCTTTTTTTATATCTGTAGTCCTGACCCAAGCTGTTGATAGACAATGCAACATTTACAGCAACATTTTTTTGATTTTCACACACTAAATACCTACATAGCAATAAAATAATTAATACTCAGCGGTTGAAGTAATCTACAGAAGATAGAAATACCAAAATGTAATGCGTTAAATAATATTCCAATAGTAATTTGCTTAACAATTTTATTTTAAAATTAGCATAATGAAATAATTATGTTCTTTTAGGATGGTTAAAAATTGTCTAGATATTGGTCTATTCATACCAACAATCAAAATAGAGTTGAAATATGATCTGAAAGGAAATGTATTATTGTTACCACTGGTTGGTGTAGGCGATACTAAACTATTTCTGAGTGAGTATGAAACAAAACTTAAATCATAACATTATATCTAGCAAATATTATATTTGTTTAATTTTCAGATAATGTAAGCCACACACATGTACAGAGAAATATCTACTACCCCAAATATATTAACGAAACTGTAATGGTGGCTAGCAGTATGAAAGTTGAATTTAACTGTGTGTCAACTCTGACAATTTGTTCAACGGAAACAAAGTATTAGGTAGGTAAGTAAAATCATTGAACATTACTTGACTTGAGTAAAAACATATTGTACAAATCAATATTAGGTACTATAAAAAGGGATATGTCCACATTTTATAGTAGGCACCTATTGTTAAAATGTCAAAATATCTTGTATTTTCTAAAATGTTTTCAACTGTTTCATAGGCGAACTGTCAACAATAATAACTTGTTGAAAGTGGTGAATGGTCTGGAAGATATTGGTGAAAACCTATTGATCATATTCAAACAGATAATGAACGATGCATTTAGTCACATGCCAACAAAACTGTGGCTATAAGATGATTAGTTGACTTATGTAATTATATAATCTGTGTTTATAACATCTGTTCAGTCTTACTCACGTTTTATCATTCCTTGCACCATTTTTATAATATCTATAGTGTAGGTTATCCATAATGACCATAGAATTTAACCTAACACCAGGTAAAACTATAAATGTTTCAGCTCGCTGGATATTTGCCATTTGACCTGGTACAAAAATAATATTAATAATATATTATATAAAATATATTAATATATTAAAATAATATATATTCTTATAAATAAATCTTTATCAAATGTTTTTATAATTTAATTGTAATCTTAAGTATCTAAACTGTCTTTAAGAATATAACTCATTGCCAAATTGTTGTTCAGTATGCTTGTACTTGAATTTATATTATTTTATAAAATCCCACACAACTAACAACATAATATTCTATAATTCATATAAAATACCATCGGTTATCCTCTTCATCAATCACACCTTCTTCCTCCACCTCATCATCAAAAACGTCTAAATCCATCAACTCAAAAATATCTTCATTATCTGAATCGATAAAATAAAAACAATTTTCAATTCATATTATTCAATTAAAAAAAAATTTAAATACTACTTGGTAAATAATCATGGTCGAGTAGTGCATTGATAGCCTAGTTTCCTGAGTTAATTAGGTCAATTAATTGGGGTAAGTGAACTTAAAGCTTTAAAAAAAATTTAAAGACTTAAAGAATTTCAGTTTTGTGGAATTTTTAACACGTCGAGTGCCGCGGTCGACGGGTAGTCGAAAATTTCAAATTTGTATAGACATATCTATGGCTTTAAAATTTACTCGGTTATCAGAGCAATGCTTCTGTTTTTATTCGTGGTTATTCAGTGAAATGTCTATTTTTTAACAGTGTATTCGGATTTATTTTCGTTTATTTTTAGCAAAGTAATGGTTATTTTTCCCAAGAAATAATCAATGGCAACATCGACACCAAGACGATTGTTTATGTTTATCGCTATAGGTATTAAATCTAGGACATTATTCTTATAATATTATACAGTTGTATATTTATTAATGGTATTATTTTATTTATATATAAACGAAAATAATACGAGGAATTTACGCAATAATATTATTTCGTTTTAATTCGTATATATATTATTCATTGCTATACAGATATAAGATATTTGTAAATTGTATTGTTGGATATTAATCATTATAATACTAAATAATAACAACAAGTAGGTATGTAGCGAAAAAAACAACCACAATCCACAAACACACAGACGGCCGACGTAATTGCGGGACTGTTTTCGCTCGGACACTCGGGCACCGCTCGCCAAATCTGCGTGGCACTCATAAGGACCATAATTTCTAAAATCATAGAGGTTTTACAGAGCCGGTACGTATGGTGTATATGAAATTTAAAGTAAACTGAGTAGCTGTATTGAACCCATGAATTTATGAACTGTTAAATAATATAAATAATTTTTCAGCACAATAGATAAGCATATTTTAGTTGTAATATTGTTAATTTCGTCATGATACTAAATAATAAAACGTACCTACTGTTGCATATTACTAAATTTAATATTGTGTCATTTTTAATTTTTCATTTCTATTATAATGGTAAACGGAAAAAAAGTCCCCGGAAAAAAGTCCCCGGTAAGAAAGTCCCACGGAAAAAAAGTCTCCAGTTGCAGTATAAATAAAACGATATTTCCACTAAACTTGTTATTTTATTTCTAAAATAAATTGGGTTGACAATAAATTCTTATCTGTTCAATGTAAAATTACATTTTACATTCTGAGTGGAACCATGAATGTATTGATTTTACAATGATGTGTGTTTTTTTTTATACATTTTTTCATTATACCTACTGTACAGCAGAGCACCTTTTTTTTTTTGTGTCATTTTAGTACAATAAAAGTCCTTGGATTTTCTTCAACAGTAGCTTTTATGATAGGGAAGTGAATCTAGTTGGTACTTTGGGGGGTCAAAAGTGAAAATTTCAGTAGTTTTCAAAAGCGACGTGAAAAACAAAATAAAAAACCGTAGATACATGAAATTTGACTGAATGTTTGTATTAGCATTTTCTATACACGATAAAATTTTCAAAATGTTTTGATTTATTTTGAACTGTTTAGGCACATTTTCATTTTCCATTTTTTTTTCTAAAAATATCAATAAAATTTTATTTGTTGGTTAAAAAAGCTTGAAAATTTAATGCAAGGCTCCTGTTGAAATATACAATTAATATTAGTATTCAAACCATGTAAACACACGTGCGTGTACAATGTCGTTTTCTAATAGATACTTATGCAGTTACGATATAGCTGTGTAACACCTTTACTATCGCTTTCTATATTATATACGGATACGGGATGGCCTCGATTGTTCATATAAATAGGGCCTTTGATGTATGTAATAATCACTTGCACAGACGCTGTCATACCGAGTGTACGCGGTGTGTGTGTATAGTCACAGGTTAATTGTCCAGTTGTACGTTATTATATATTATACTTATACATAATCATATTGTCGTGTTATCAGTGGTTGAATTGGGGGGGGACGCGGGGGGACGGAGTCCCACTTCTATTTTAAAAATATTTTAGCGTACCCCTTCTAATTTCTTTTAATGGGACGCTGGGGACGGGAATCATTTTAAAAATTGTACTAAATTAATGGAAATATTTTTATTTTAGATTCTGAGTGAAACGATGAATGTATTGATTTTACAATGATGTGTGTTTTTTTTTTTATTTATTTTTTTTTTTTTTGTGTCTGTGTACACGATAAGTAGTCGAAATAATGCTTCGATTTTTAACTTCAGTATCTTGTTCGATTGGAAAGTGAATATCGTTGGTGCATTGGGGAGGTTAAAATTTAAATTTCCCAGTAGTTTTCA